TGCCACAATCCATCATTCTGCTGCCGGAGCTCAAGTCTCAGTCATCAAGAGCTGGCTGCCTCTTCTAGGTTCTTGCAGCCAGCTCCTGGTAATGTGCACCAGCCAATGTGAGTCCCTGCACCTGCATCCTCCAAGGATATTTAACATGATAGAACTGTAAACAAGCAGCTTATTTATTTATTATTATTTATTTCAGGTACTTATATAGTGCTGTCAATTTACGCAGCGCTTTACATATATATATATTGTACATTCACATCAGTCCCTAACCCTCAAGGGGTGTACAATCTAAGATCCCTAACCAGGGGCGGACTGACCATTTGGAAACTCGGGCGCTGCCCGAGAGCCCCGGGGCAGTAGGGGGCCCCATGAGATGCCCCTGGTACCTTTTTCATAAGCTTTTTTGAGTTTGGGCAAGGACACAGGGGCCCCATGATCCCCTATTGCCCGGGGGCCCCATGAGTTGTCAGTCCGCCCCTGTCCCTAACTCACATTCATACATACAATGGACAATTTAGACAGGATCCAATTAACCTACCTGTATGTCTTTGGTGTGTGGGAGGAAACTGGAGTACCCGGAGGAAACCCACGCAGGCACAGGGAGAACATGCAAACTCCAGGAAGGTGGTGCCGTGGTTGGGATTCGAACCAATGACCCTAGTACTGCCAGTTGGAAGTGCTAACCACTAAGCCACTGTGCCGCCCACTTAATACACAGTTGAAGTACATACAGTATGTTTTTTTTTTTGGGTAATATAAATTGTGTTTATTAAAGTTTGTATGTAAACAGAGTTTGTATGTAAACAGAGCCTCTGGGCAATCCCCGGCTCAACATAAACAGTTAACAAAACATCACAACAACAGTGACTCAGGTATACCTTACGCTCAATGAGAAACATAATATATATAGAAATGTAGCAGCTAAAGCAGTAATCACATTAGAAATGGTCAAGTAAGTGCATTGGCATTCTAGGCAGGGAGCGGAAACCAGGCAGGTACCGGTAATGTGCAAAATGTATTCCCATATGAGAAAGAGAGGAGAGGGAGGAGGGGTGGAGGTGCGAGAAGAACCAAGGAGGGCCACCCACACACCACCATCCCCCCAGAAATAACATAAATGACCAGTCAAGGTACCACAGAGTTATCAGTATTTGGTCTAGCTTCAGTAGTAGAGGGGGACTCAAGCCGTATATCCCATACCGTGTCAAATTTCTTGGGACATCCACTAGAAAGATGTGTCAATATGTACAACAGTATCACCGAGTTGACCAGTTTCTTCCAACAGTCCAATGAAGGAGGCCTCCAATTTCCAAGCTAATAGAATATAGCCTTCCCGGCATAGAAAAGTAGTACACTTAATGACTAAACCCAGCAGACATACAACAATCGTTTAAGGAACTGATATCATGGTTAGTGAGTAGATAAAATGAACAACAGCAGCCCAGAACTCTTGAATATGAGGGCAGGACCAAAAGACATGGAAAAAAAAAATCAGTATTGCGCCACGCTGCCAGCAGTTAGGTGCCCCTGCAGGGCAGATTTTATGAAGGCATTGAGGGGTAAGAGAAGCCATATGCACTATTTTAAATTGTATCAACCCATCCCTTGTGGCAACCAATTGGGTAAACGAGTATTCCCAAGCATCCTCCCAGTCCTCGCTATACAGGTCTGGCACTGCTGCAGCAGGTCAAGCCCAACATGAACCGTTGGCAATAAAGCCTTATACACTGCTCAAAAATTAAAGGAACACTTTGAAAACACATCAGGTCTCAGTGGGAAAAAATATCATGCTGGATATCTATACTGACAATGTGACTGGATAATGTGTTAGGAACGTAAAAATGCCCCATCTTTCATGGAAATTAAAATTATCAACCAACAGAGGACTGAATTCAAAGACACCCTGAAAATCAAAGTGAAGAAATGATGCAGCAGGCTAGTCCATTTTGCTGAATTTTCATTGTAGCAACTCAAAATGGGCTTTAGTAGTTTGTATGACCCCCACGTGCTTGTATGCATGCCTAACAATGTCAGAGCATGCTTGTAATGAGACAACGGATGGTGTCCTGAGGTATTTCCTCCCAGATCTGGACCAGGGCATCACTGAGCTCTTGGACAGTCTGAGGAGCAACCTGGCATTGTCGGATGGACCAAAACATGATATTCCAGAGGTGTTCTATTGGATTTAGGTCAGGCGAGCATGGGGGCCATTCAATGGTATCAATTCCTTCATCCTCCAAGAACTGCCTGCATACTCTCGCCACATGAGGCCGGGCATTGTCGTGCACCAGGAGGAACCCAGGACCCACTCCACCAGAGTACAGTCTGACAATATGTCCATGGATTTCATCCCGATACCCAATGGCAGTCAGGGTGCCATTGCCTAGCCTGTAGAGGTCTGTGCGTCCCTCCATGGATATGCCTCCCCAGACCATCACTGACCCACCACCAAAATGGTCATGCTGAACAATGTTACAGGCAGCATAAAGATTTTCCACGGCTTCTCCAGACCCTTTCATGTCTGTCATATGTGCTCAGGGTGAACCTGCTCTCATCTGTGAAAAGCACAGGGGGTGTCAGTGGTGGACCTGCCAATTCTGGTGTTCAATGGCAAATGCCAATCGAGCTCTATGGTGGTGGGCAGTGAGCACAGGGCCCACTAGAGGACATTGGGTCCTCAGGCCACCCCCATAAAGTCTGTTTCTGATTGTTTGGTCAGAGACATTCACACCAATGGCCTACTGGAGGTCATTTTTTTGTAGTGCTCTGGCAGTGCTCATCCTGTTCCTCCTTGCACAAAGGAGCAGATACCGGTCCTGCTGAAGGGGTTAAGGACCTTCCACAGCCCTGTCCAGCTCTCCTAGAGTAACTGCCAGTCTCCTGGAATCTCATCCATGCTCTTGAGACTGTGCTGGGAGACACAGCAAACCTTCTGGCAATGCCACATATTGATGTGCCATCCTGGAGGAGTTGGACTGCCTGTGCAACCTCTGTAGGGTCCAGGTATCGCCTCATGCTACCAGTAGTGACACTGACCCTAGCCAAATGCAAAACTAGTGAAAAATAGAAAATATAAGTAGGGAAAAAAATGTTAGTGGCCTCCACCTGTAAAACCATTCCTGAAACTGATTAACAACCCCCTCTGCTACTTAACTGACCAGATCCATATCCCAGGAGTTTAATTGACTTGATGCTATACTCTGATTAAAAAGTGTTCCTTTAATTTTGTATAGTGTATATTACTGATAGGGCCTTTTTGAAATCTACATCACGCAACAGGGATTCCAAGTCATTCTGCAGCAGGTGAAGTGGCCGGGTACCAAATTGTGAGTAGTGGACATAGCGTAGTTGTAGGAACCTGAAGAATAGAGAATTTGGAAGATCGTAGCTTTGTTTCAACCTATCAAAAATGACCAAATAATCCACTGCATAATATGTAATGCCTCTTGAGCTCCATACAGTGGGGTCTGGAATTGCCATGAACTCTGGAAGCCATGGGTTAAAGAAGTACATATGTTTGAACTGTTTTACCTAACAAACATTTTTTAAAGCTGAGTACTTCATCCTGGGATTATCTTACTCCTTACAAACACCATAGACAGGGCCCTGACTTCACTGTTTTCACTAAGTTAGAGCAAAACAGCTTGGTCATAGACTTGCCCCAACTCTTGGATAGTGAAGAAGCAGAAGCATATTAAAGAGAACGTCTCTTTGGTGTCTCTGCCTACCAGCAAGTACTCTGCATTAGCTTGACAGCACTGTTCAATGCTATAGAGCAGGGGTCTCCAAACTTTCTAATAAAGTGCCAGTTTACCGTCCTTCAAACTTTAGGAGGGCCGGACTGCCACAGGAGTAGAAAATGTCTTGGTGTCAGTGGGAGTAAAGAGTGTCCTATTTTTTTTGGTATTAGGGGGAGGAATAGTGCCCCATTGTTGGTGTCAGTGCACGGAATAATGCCCCATCATTGGTGCCAGTGAGAGAAATAATGCTCCATCCTTGGTGTCAGTGTGAGAGGAACAAAGCCCCAATGTAGGAGTCAAGGGCAGGAACTATGCTCCACTGTTGCGTTCATTGGGGTAAATAGTGGCCCAGGGCTGGATAAGAGCAAGCAAAGGGCTGCAATTTGGAAAACACTGTTATAGAGCAATGGCCACTATACTATCCTTTAGGTTTTAGGATGGCCAGACTATGGCCAGTGAAAGTAGGAAATGCCCTGGCATTAGTGAGTGTAAACAATGACCCAGTGATTCATTGTTATCAGTGGAAGGAATAGTACCCTATCATTGGTGTCTGTGGGAGGAATAATGTCCCATCATTGGTGTCTGTGGGAGGAATATGTGCCCCATCATTGGTGTCAGGGGGTGTAGTATTGCCCCATCATTGGTTTCAGGGGGTGTAGTATTGCCCCATCATTGGTGTCAGTGAGAGGAATAGTTTCCCAGCATTGGTGTCAGTGGGAGGAATACTGCCCCATTGTTGGTGTCAGTGGGAGAAATACTGCCCCAATGTTGGTGTCAGTGGGAGGAATACTGCCCCATTGTTGGTGTCAGTGGGAGGAATACTGCCCCATTGTTGGTGTCAGTGGGAGGAATACTGCCCCATTGTTGGTGTCTGTTGGAGTGCCCCATCATTTGTGTCAATGGATGGAATGGTGTCCTGAGGGCTGGATAAAGGCAAGCAAAGGGCCACATTTGACCCACGGACCGCAGTTTGGCTAATGGTGCAGTTCCTTCCTCTCCGAATCAAAGTTCTGCTGCACAGGGGAATGCAGAAGTCTAACATAACTGATTAACTAGTTAAAAGTACAAACAAGACATCTTTTAAATTCAACATAACTGGACTAAATGTGGGTTTATTTTAAATACAATATCCATAGTTCTGCAGTGTAGAAAGAAGTTATTATGACCTAGATGTTATCTTTTTGTTTTCCACAGAGAGCGCACACGTTTGCCAAGAATGTGGTGGAAGCAAAATGTCGGCCGGGATTTGCCAGAGCAGAGATGAACCGATTGTTTCCCAACAATTACAACATGAGATTACTCAGCTTTGTCAAGAAAAACAAATACCTCAATGAATCCTTGTACCAGTATGGTCCTCCGTTTGGATTTCGCCAGTATCTTAAAGAACTCGATGACACATTGGACATGATGCCTGAAGATGATCTTCCCAAGGACCTAAGACACCAACAATGCAAACGCTGTATTGTTGTAGGGAGTGGGGGAATCCTGCATGGGCTGGAGCTTGGACATATAATCGATCAATTTGATGTTGTAATCAGGTACATTTATTTATGTTACTACATCCAGAGAAATTATTACTTGAGTTATTCTCTTACACAGTTTGCTAGTTAAAATAGTTGTCCCCTGGCTTTGTAGCTGGGAAATGTACAATGTTAGTCCTTGAGGAGCAGAGCTTAGCGCCAATACCATGGACTACTCTGCTGTTGGCTGCTAGGCAGTAAGGTGTGGGGATCGTTGGTGAGGCCCACGTGTATATTTTGTGAGCTTTTTGCTGCAGGCTAGTGGTGATTCTACTCTTGTTGTCCTATACCTGTGTTAACTGTCCACATACTTAGGTTGGAATAAATATGTGCGAAAATATTGAACTTTCCAATTGTCTACTTAGATTGGGATATACCGCTCTATCTCCTTTTCTCTCCTTATCCAGCTCTTCCAGTGTTCTTTTTCTGTATAATCATCTTCTATGTATAAAACATTCTGTCTTCTGTCTGTCTGTTCTTCCAGCCATTAGATGACCATCTCCTGTAACCTTCATGTTCTTTATTTCTTCCTGTTCCTCCCTCTCAGTCTCTCTTTTTGTGGATCTGTTTTTTGATTTGTTTATGTAGGTATTTTCCCACAACACAAAATCATACCGGTAATTTTTTTTGGAACAGGGAGAAACTTGTCCTGCGTGTGTGTTTGATAATATACACCGATCAGCTATAACTTTATGACCACTGACAGAATACCATTGGTTATCTTGTAAAAATGGCACCTGAAAGTTTGTGGAGATATATTAGGCAGCAAGTGAACATATTGTCCCTGACGTTGATGTGTTGGAATTAGAAAAAAATGAAAATTTTGACAAGGGACAAATTTCTACTGGCTAAGAGTCAGAGCAACACAAAACTGCAGGTCTTGTGGAATATTCCCAGTCTGCCATGGTCAGGACCTACCAAAAGTGGTCCAAGGAAGGGAAACTGGCTCATGGGGAGACTCATTGCTGCTCATGGGGAGCAAAGGGTGGCCCATGTAGTTCAGTCCAATAGAAGAGCTACTGTAGCTTAAATTGCTGAAAAAGGTAATGCTGGTTCTGATAGAAAGGTATGAGAACACACAATGCATTGCACTTTGTTGAGTATGGGGCCACGTAGCTGAAGACAGGTCAGGGTGTCCATGCTGACAAGTGTCCACAGTCAGAAGCGCCTGAAATGGGTACATGAGCCTCAGAACTGGATCATGTAGCAATGGAGGAAGGTAAAGTGGCCTGATGAATTCAAGAACAGTTTGAGAACACAACGGCCAGTTCGAGGTGTTGACATGGCCTACAAATTCTCCATATCTCAGTCCAGTTGAGCATCTGTGGGATGTGCTGAAAAGACAAGTCAAATCCATAAAGGCCCCACCTTGCAAATTACAGGGCTTGAAGGATCTGCTGCTGACGTCTTGGTGCCACAGCATACCTTCCAAGGTCTAGTTGAGTCCATGCCTCGATGGGTTATGGTGGGTGGTCAGAATTTTATGGCTGATGTGTGTGTAGAGACATTGAGCTGTAAACTCTTTTGCGTGCAGGGACTGATGTGAAAGGTGATCCATAAAGCATGGCGTGATATATTACCACTACACGAACACAGGAACTTAGTAATATACCTTGGCATGGGATATTCTCAAAACAAATTCCTTGTCTTAAATCTAGTGTTTTAATCATGATGCCAACTAATCTGTTCATTGTCTTTTGCATTTCTTAGACTAAACAATGCTCCGGTTCATGGATACGAGCGGGAAGTTGGAAATAGAACCACCATCAGGATGACATATCCCGAGGGGGCTCCGGTTTCTGAACAGGAATATTTCAGTAATAGTCTGTTTGTCACGGTCCTCTTCAAGCACGTGGACTTCCTGTGGCTGCAGGCCATGCTGAAGAACAAGTCACTGGTGAGTCAGCTGTGCTGAGAGCGGAGATATTTCAGTTGTATTGGCCACATGGTCATGGTTCAGGTTCAGGTTGATGATTCTAACTTTCCGCTACATCAAAGTATTTCTAAAGCCCAAACGTCTGTTTATCAGATTTGAATTGAGTATGAAGGAAATAAATGCCCGCTCAGCTTTTCCTTTCTGTCTGTACCTCTCCAGGGAAATTCCCTTCTCTGTTTGTCCTGGTATCACAGGGACAGAAAATGATGTCAAATCAAAAATGTTACAGTTGCCGTCAGCACAGGAAGCAAGGAGAAAACTTCCAATGGGGACAGCTGACAACTAAGATGGGATTTCCCCCTAAGGCTACTTTCACACTTTTCAGTTGTACAAATGCACGCACATTTTTACGGCGTCTCAGGTGCATTTCTTCACCTGACATATGACTTAAAAAAAGCACCAAAAACAACCGTTTTTGATGCGTTTGTGATGCATTTTTGGTGCGGTTTCCATTCATTTCATGGAGAGGTGTGTTTTTGCTGCAGGTGCGTTTTTGATGCGTTTTCCATCCATTTCAATAGGGAGGCACATTTTTTGGTGTTTTTTTTTTTTTTTTTTTTTTTTTTACCGCACCAAAAATGCAGCAAGCAGGACTTTTCTGACTGCCCAGTGTGACCGACCAGTGTGAAGAGTTCCATAGGATTTAATGGTCATGCGTTTTCCTTCCAGCCTAACTCTGGAGAAATCTGCTTACTTCTGTTGTGTCTCAAACAGGAAATGAAGGGAAATCTGTAATATGTGACTGGGGTTATGACTATTCCCTACGTTCCCTTATAGAACAGGGGAAGGTTAGAATCTCTGATGGGTTGTACTGCTGTCCGGGACTCCTGTCAGTTTCACCAAATCTCAGATAGAAAATCAGACAGAAGTGAAAATGTTTTTTCTTTTTTTATAGCAGTGTAGAAGAAGTCCAGGGCTTGTTTGCACTAGTGTTGGTGTGTGTTCAGTAAAACCCAGCAGTTGAGCCATGCTTTTAGCAACCCCAACTGCCACCCTTTATAGCTGCAGAGGCAGCAACCAGTGGTGTGCACATGCCACGGCAGGAATAGACCATTGCTCAAGTGAATGGGAACACTCTGCATCCGCCCCACATGGGGTTGCAGCATGCTATTGTAGTTTCAAAGGGTTAAAGCAAGGGTGTCAAACTCGATTTCGTCGTAGGCCACACAAACATTATGGTTGCCCTCAAGGATGGTTGTATCTGTAAGACTAGATGTCCAGAGCACCCCCCTCTCCCCTTACATCTGATGTCAAGAGCTCCTTCACTATCAGAAGTCAAGAGTCCCCCACCCTCCCTTAAATCACAGTACATCCCCGTTTCCTTGTGTTGCTGTCAGAAGAAGCTGGGGGAGGAGCTTGGAAGTAGAAAGTGCAGGGTCTGGAGAAGGACCAGAGTCAGCTGCAGAGAAACACAGGTTCTGTAGGAGTTCTGTCCTCCTCTCTGCGGCTGACTGCTGAGATGGGGCTGCCGCTGCTGCAGAAGAGGTGCGAGGGCCATATGAAATGGCCTCGTGGCCCGGATTCGTCCTGCAGGCCTTGTGTTTGACACATGGGGGTTAAAGGGATACAACTCCTCCTCATTGCCTGTCAAATATTTATTTATTTATTTCAGGCACTTATATAGCGTCATCAATTTTACGCAGCACTTTACATATATATTGTACATTCACATCAGTCCCTAATCCTCAAGGGGCGTACAATCTAAGGTCCCTAACTCACATTCATACATACACATACTAGGGCCAATTTAGACAGGAGCCAATTCACTGACCAGCATGTCTTTGGAGTGTGGGAGGAAACCGGAGTACCCGGAGGAAATTCATGCAGGCACAGGGAGAACATGCAAACTCCAGGCAGGTGGTGCCGTGTTTTGGATCCGAACCAACTATCCTAGTACTGCCAGACAGAAGTGCTAACCATTTAGTCACTGTGCTGCCCACTAAATACTTTCTGAAGAGTGATTCAAATGTGGATCGCTCGCCAAAGCTAATGAATGAGCCCTTAATTATTTTTCCTCACTTCCTGTCCTGCTCAACAGGGGTTCCAATCCTTTCCCTTCTAGCCCAGAACTGTTTTGGCTATACATAGAGTTTAACACATCAAGTTGGGGAGATCCAGGGAAGGCAATATGTATGCAGTATACACTTCAGATTTAGCCATTACAGTGACAACATGTTCTCCAAGCTGCTTGCAGGTGCATTTAGAAATGATTAAATCAGCACAGCAAGTGCTTAAGTCATATGCCTGATGCGATTCTAAATATATATTTTTTTGTGCTGAAAATAAGGTTTTAGTTCTCCTATTAATAACATTTCCTTTGAAGTTCTGCCACAAGGCTGTGTGGGTGACACTTCCCATTTTTCTTTTATACCAAAGCACATTTTTATTTGTCTACCAAACATGTACACAGCACAAGTGAGTTAGCAGTGCCCAGAATACTGGATAGGATCAGGGTAGGGGAGGTAGCTTTTCTTAAAGGATAAGTTCACCTTTAAAATAAAAATAAATATTAATAATAAATACACATCTTTTTGCAGGTAAAAAAATTTCATGTATTATTTTTTTAACTAGGAGCCTGGAAAGCATTGCACCCTTGATCAGGAGATTGTGGGTGCAATGTGAGGCTCCTGCTAGCAGTCAGTGTAGCTGTCAGCCCATACCTTGTACAGGCAGGCAGTTACTAAATGACAAGAAGACTCAATGGATTATTTAGAGCGCTTACTGAGAACTTCAAGCCTTTAGCCGCAATGGCTGCTGGTAGTTGTAGTTCTGCCATTTACAGAAATCTGGGGGTGCTGCATCAGTAACATGTTACATGTAACACCAGGGGCGGACTGACAACTCATGGGCCCCCGGGCAATAAGGGATCATGGGGCCCCTGTGTCCTTGCCCAAACTCAAAAAAAAGCCTATGAAAAAGGTACCAGGGGCATCTCATGGGGCCCCCTACTGACCCCGGGCCCTCGGGCAGTGCCTGAGTTTCCAAATGGTCAGTCCACCCCTGTGTAACACCCTGAATATGGGTGTAACATGTTATAAAAGGTGAACTTATCCTTTAATAATAAAGAGGGATTGTGTCAGGTGACCCAAGGTATGGAAGTCTCATGATCTGATGCTGCAGGAAGTATTGATTTTATGGCTGCATTGTAGGACTGATATCTTTGCAGCAGGCAGTGATTCTATGACTAAGTCTATGCAGATTGCCATACTGTGTTTTAGTTGTCGGGTCGGATGTGGTGTCAGGGTCTGTTTGAAGTGATTGTAAAGGCAGATATTTTTTTTTTTCTAAGTAACAAACATTATGCTCAGAGCAGCCCCGATCCTCCTCTTCTCAGGTCCCGGCACTTCTGGCCCCTCCTTCCCTCCAGCCAAGTGTCCCCAGAGCAAGCAGCTTGCTAGGGGGGCACGCAAGCAGGCTCGCTCCTGAGCCGCTGCTCTATATGTCCATTCACACACAGATGCAGCTGAGCCCTGCCACCCCACTCTCTCATTGGCTCACTGATTGTGATTGACAGTATGAGTACCAATGGCTCCCGCTGGTGTCTCAGCAAATGAGGAAGGAGGGAACCAGGACAGCTGAGGCGCTTGTGCAAATCGCTGGATCGAGGTGGGACTGAGGAAGGCTGCTGCACAAAGAAGGGTTTCTTTATGCATAGAATGCATGAAGGTAAAAAAACCTTGAGCCTTTCCAACCACTTTAAATGAACTTCTTGCATTGCCCTGCATGGACATACTTGCATATTCTTTGTTCCCACACTGCTACCATCAACTGATAAGAACGGGGAAGCGGCCCTGTGTAAGCTCCAAGTCACTCTAATCAGAGGTAATAAAGAAATCGGCTGGAACCAGCGTCATGTTTAATCACTGTGTGTACCCTAGCTGGAAATCTCCATTCACTTCCTCTCCCAAAGACGTTATCACCAGCACAAGATGTAAGGGGGGGGGGGGGGGTATCTTTAACGGAACATTGGGGACAATTCACTAAAGGTTATCGCATGCGTTATGTTGTTCAGGTGACCACATATTGCATACGTTACTGAAATTGTCAATTCACTATTGCTAGCATGTGGTATTTACTACAAATATCAAAAATGTTCGGTAAATACTGCATAAAAAGACCTTAAGGTCAATTCACAGAGGGAAATAAATAATTGAGTGCATGTATAACTAAGTAGTGGTTGCGCCATGTGGTATGTACTGGTTGTTAAGGAGCAGGCAGCTGCCGGCGACCTTAACAACCATTAACTGCCATGGCTGTTAAGGAGCTGGTAGCCGCCGCTGTGTCTTTTAACAACCGATGAGTCATCAGCTGACAGCTGAATGTAAAAAAAAAGAATTGCCAGCAATTAAAAATTAAGAAAACTAAAAGAAACCTGTATCCCCAATGTAGATCCAGCATCAATCACGACGGCCACAACCAAAAAAAAAAAAAAAAAGCAGCTTCGTTCTCGATGAAGGCTCCCGCCGTCTGACCGTTCTTAACTTTTTCACGCTGGCCGAATGCAAATGTGCGGCCTCCCGGCGTCTGGGCCTAGACTCCGAGCGGCCGCACATTTGAGTTCTATTAAAAAAAAATATGTGCTGAGGGCACGCGCCCTGCGCGCTCCCAGCACACATGTCCGGTACTCACGAAAAGGTCTCGATCTCCTCTTTCATATGTCATATGACCGCCGTGACGGCATGCCACAGTGGTCACATGACCCTAAAACCCCGCCCCGCCTCCTGACTTCTGAAACCCTTTAAGGTTTGGGAGGCGCCGGCGCCAAGGGGTTAAATAACTAAGGGGTGGGGCCACCTGGTGACATTGCCGGGTGACCCCGCTCTTTGTGACATCATCGACTGGGGCATTCTCGATGCGTATCTAGGTCATTAGTGGGTGCTAGAGGTCCCAGAAAAACAAAGTCCAATATAAAGTTACCACCGTGCCCCAGTAGTTTCGATTATTTTTGGAAATACCCAATA